AAGTGGCATGAATCGCCCGAAGGGCCAACTTTGAACAAACAGGTTCCTGTAATACTAAGGTTTTGATTCTAAGTAGGATGTCACTACAGTAGAAAGTGCAGTTTCAGTCCGTTGATTACTGAGAGGGTAGCGTATTCGCATGTGGGCAAATACATAGCTGCTGCCACAGGATGAGGCTCCTTCGCCTGACGACGTATCGCTGACTATGCTGGGACAGAAAAGTCAAATCGCGGTAATGTTTGGAGACGTCCGTAAAGAGCTATAACGGACAGTGCTGGCTTCAGTCTCTTGGCTTAACACTTGCACCAGCAATTTGCGCAGCATAACATATGCCTTTGCACACGAACTAGAGGAACTAGAGAGAGATGAACAGCATCGCCGAAGCCGCACCGGCCTCTTCATGCAACCTTAACATTGGGACATGCGTGCGTACTCGTCCAGTTGTCAGTATCAAATCAAGAAGGTAGCCCCTTGTAGCATTGCGGATTCTGGGTCTTGGCCCATCTCCGTTCCTGTGGGGTTCACAAAGCGAACAGGATAACGGCTCGTAGCCTGTCCCCACAGCCCCAAGATCATCGGTCGGGCAAATGAGCATGTCATGCTTGAGGCCCGTTTCTGCGCAGGCACTCATTCTGTCTTTACGAAAATATTCACTTAGCGTTCACCGGGCGACGGATGTGCCACCGTGTAGAACAGTGCATTCGCTTAGGTTGCGGGGATGCAGTTGCGCTTCGCAGGGTCGGGAGGTTTGTTAACAGCGAATATATTTCGCTGCCAGTGCCGCTCCCAGTATCCCAGTGTGTTTTTATTCGCATCCTTCCTTCCATAGTCAACGTCTATAAGGCGTCCGTTGAATCACAGGATCTCCGTTGAACAGCAGAAGCCAAACGAAAATCTTCTGCAGCGCCAAGGAACAGAAACAAACGCAGCTCTCTCGCCTAGGCAATTTCAAAGTTGGGCAGCAAGATCCAAGGGCACCCTTGATGCGTTGCAGCCTGATGCCACCTACGGAGCGCTATACGATGAGTGATCCCCGAGGTTGCCTCGACCAGATGCTGTCCCCGGCAAAATGCAATGGACTGGGAAAGACGCGGTGACCTCCATCGTACTAGAGACTTGCATTCTGACGACGAGCTATTAGTCATTTGTTTTCACGAACAGCCAGGCAGCTACGGAGTGTTCCAAGACTCGCCGTAAGCTATCCTGCCTGCTCAAAGCAGGCGTGGTAAGGCAAAATTGTTCGTTTTCAGCCGTTTCATCCATACAAAGCCCAGAATCAAGGTGCGGTAAGTTGTCATATGAGAGGACTAATTCCTTGCATGCATGCTACTGGAAGAAATAATCACGTTCGGTTTGAGCAGGAGTCAGGGGTTATCAGTAGGCCACCTGCGTGAACTATATTAGGAAGTCAGATCCCAGCACGCAGCTACAAACTTAGGAAAACGTTGAGGCTAATTTGGCGAGATATTGTAACTGAGCGTGAAGAGTTTGGTTTTAGTGATCTAGTTCGTAGTCACTGTCCGCAGCACGCTATGTGCAAAGCCAAAGCCTTCATAAAAATGATGTCTGCCAAGATGACTTGAAGCGTCCGCTTAACTTTGTCTGCTGGAGCTGCAGGCAACGCAGAAGATATCAAAAAGTATAAGGAAGCATGTTTACTCCCAGGTACACGGGTGGCAACTCAGTCAGTTTTCGTACTCATGCAGTATGCCATCCGCTGGTAACCCTTCGTCGACTTCAACGTACCAGTTTGTTATAGTCCTCCCGTGATACCTGCCGTGTTGTCTGCGAAAGCATGCATAGGAATACGCACGGTGTCAAGCGAATGACAACTAAACCAATGTGCTTTATGGAGTCTTCCTATAAGCTTAATTGCATATTTCGGTGAAGGCGCGCTTAGAACCTTGGACTATCTGTGTGAGGAGAGTGCTGGCTGGCGCTGCGGCGGTGTCTACAAAGCCTTGCCTGCAAGTCACGCTCCCTATCAAATCGCTGCCACGGTTGGCCCTTCTTTGCATCCTCTGGCTGCAGCGACAAGCAAACAGCGCCTAAAACCACGAAATAACACGGGGTTCGCTAACCAACTCTAAGTCACCGCTTGCTGTCGTCTAACGACTAGATGTCACGATGGGACTCGTGCAACGCTCTACTATATTTACACTACAGAGGGTCCCAGAATTGGACTTGAGTACGCACAAAATCCTGTTCAGCTGCCTGCTCTGCCGCCCGCTTCCCCCAAACATTTCGAGCAGCTTCCATGCTCCGTTTCCAGCGCTTATAGGCCTCTTCGCCCTCTGCAAACTCGCCTGTTTACCAAAACAGAAAAAGCAGGGCACAATGTGCACAAATTGCTCTTGTGTGGCTTTTCATGCATGTGTATAGAAGCACGAGATGACGGCCAGCGCTACTTCGTTGCTGTAAAGCGGCGGAGCCTCCACATTTAAACAGGGTGTGTCTGCGGCAAACCTTCCTCCTTAAGTTCTCGAAGGCTCTTAACTTTTCGTGTTTTGTTCCACTCTTCCATGATCGCTTTGACGCGTACAGCTTCTTCGTCATCCTTCTTTTTCTGCTGCAATATTTCTGTACCGAGTCCCAACACCGCAACGCACATCTGCATGAGCTGGCGAATTGAATTCTGGGAGAACAGGAGAACGCTCACTAGAACAGCTGGAACTGTAAATGGGATGCACACTCTACAGGATACTGCTCAAGGAACTTCTTACGCATTCTCTTTGCATCAGGCCCATCCTTTGTAGCCAGGCAACGGAGATAGGCTGGGGCTACAAGCATCCATTCCTCTCTCTGCAAACAGAAACAGCAAACGCCTCTCGACCGCTTGCTCCAGTTCATTTTCGCACAAAAAACCGCTCACCAACTGGAAGGCATTGGCTCAAGCGTGAGCTCTAGCACAGGAGAGATATACGTAGATGAACACCACAAGTAGCAGCCGGCGTGAAATGAGGGGAGGGCCATGCTCCCGTTACAAGACGTACGCCAGACTTTCCTTCACAAGGCTCTGTCTGCTGCCCAGATGCTTGCTGAGGAACGGAACATTCTGAAAGTCCATCAAGTTCGGCATGCTCAGCACGCCAACGCTGCACCGCTTCTTCCGCCTTGCGTTCCGCCTCCTCGGCGTCGAACCGTGACTCCTCAACGGGTTGTTCCTCTCCTCCATCTGAAGCTTCAGCAAGGCGAACTTCAACTGGAGGGCTCAACTCTTCAAGCCGTGGACGTAGTTCCTTGCAGCGACGTTTCACAAACTTGGAGAGCGATATTTTACATGTAAGCACCTTCCTCCAACCTTTGCCTTGCTCACCCTCAACCTGCCATGCACCCTACAAACACACGTCTAAGCCGCGCTGAGCTCTCGAACGAACCATTGGGTGTCTTGAATTCAACGCACACTGATATCTGACGGTGATTGCTTTGTCACAAATGAGTGAAATATGCAAGCGAGTGCTTTGTCTCGACCGAGAGTGAAAATCGCAGAGGGTCACACCTCAGCAACAAAAAGGGCGCGAAAAAGATGGCGGAGTTTCTTTCGCAGTCGGATATCGCCAAGGTCATTCAAATACACGATGCCCCATGAATCCAGCTGTTTGAACACGTCCAAAAGCTGCACCCAGAGAGAATACAATTTGGCCAGCACAGGAATTCCTGGGGCGCCGTGACTGGAGTGCTCTAAGCTGGTCAAGAAATGAGGAAATCACAAACGCACACTGGAGCTTCATGTACGCCACTCACTTCTGTCTCCATCAGCGGAGAAAGCTGCAGCAAAGAGATAAGGAGGCGGTCTACATCTTCCTGAGCGTACTGGTCCTGAAAAGTACCATGTTGACATATCCCAAGGACAAGAATACGCAGAATCACCAGTCCAGGCATGTGAAACTTCATAATGCCCTTGAGGGTCGCATTGCGCATGCATTCACCAGCTGCAATTTGTGTAGTTCGCCAGCTGCTCTGAATGACAACACAGTAGGGGTCCAACACTACCCACAAGTTGGAAGTTCCCTTCTTCCTCGCTTCCTGAGTCCCTGTCGCGTTTTTTCTTTCTAGAAGATTTCTTATCTTTCTTGGCCTTCCGTTTCTTGTTGCTCTTGTTGCTGTGCTTCGCATCGTCACTACTGCCGTCACTGGGAAAACCCATGCCTGTAGGTAACCCAGGGAAGTCGACTCCTCCAGGCGGAACTGCCTAAGTTCCCCTTCCAGTGTACAAGCGTCCTGTGAATTCGCAGGTATAAGCGAACAAAGCAGCACTGTACTAAATCCGCATAGCTCATTCGTTGCCGCTCATCATGGAGGGACCAACTCACACCGTTGTCTTCCTGCTTTTCTGAGGTACGCAGAATTGAATCCCCCGGGTCTTAAGAGTAAGCCGAACGCTACGTCAATCATTAAACGGATACTTCAAAGCGTAAAATGCATATTTAAACTGGCGAAGACCAGAAAGTAACGAAATGCAGCAGGTCAGCACGATGCAGATCCAGGTCTTCGATGGTAGGCAACCCCTCAATTGCGAAAAATACAAGCGTATGTGAGAACTGTCAGTATTTAGAAGCTTCAGGCTGTTCTGAACGCATAGACAAGGGCAGCGCCAAGCCCTCGCGGGCTTTACAGCAGCGTCTACTGTGACCGCATGCGGAGGGTCCGGGCCCCCAGTCTTACCGTAGATAATTGGGCACACATTATCCAGTGGGATATATGAATGTGTTTTGTTCAGTCCATGCTTGTCAGGAAGTTTACAATCTGTGAATGCTGCTGAGTTGCTTGCATTGTCAACAGACTCTGGGGAAACCTGCTCGGCTGGGGCCTTCAAGCGGCACAAAAAGGAGATATATCTCCGCATCAAAAGCAACTTAACAACAGTTTCTGAAAGGGAGAAGACACAAATCGTGTTCTAGGTGTTCTGGCAGCAGCAGGCGTGCCGGTAAAACCCTCGTAGGACGTCTTGCGCCGTGTTCGTGGCCCGACGAACTCTGCGCAGAGCATCAAGACGCCTCCTGTCTAAGCCACTCTACTTCAGGGTGCGCTTCTGCCGAGAAGATAAAAGGCTGTACAGAAGGGGAGCAGAGATCGATTCTGCGGAAAAGCGCATGACCCCGTGAGGGGGGTGGGGGGACGCCGGCTGTGGTAGCCTTGCAGCAAAATATCCACAGGCCCCGCGTTTCCTCGTCCACTTGCCGAGCTATACACAGTGCAGTTTTGAGGATCCGTCTAAAGCCGTCTCCCTCTCACCCTTCCGCGCCCTACTGGCATGTTCACACTTTCAAAGACGGTACCGTTAAGCCTTACGAAGAATGGAGTTGGCATCTTCGAGCGTTGTAGTGGACATCGGGGCGGCAAGTACCCGCGTGGGTTATGCGGGTGAGGGGAATCCGTGTCAACTGCTGAATTCGTGTATTGGAGTTCGCCTGCCTCGCGGCGGCGCAGGGGATTCGAACGCCGCTGACCGCAACCGAAGCGGTACATCCCGCGATCTGATCTTCCCACTCAACTTCTCCGAAAGGCGGGACGGTGTGGAAGTGGTACCTGCGCTGATTCCGACCTGGCGCGGGTCTAGTGGCAAACGGAAGGGCGACTCAAGCCCAACATATACGCTAAACGAAGAGGCTTTCGAGAACCTTGTAGCGCTCAGCTGCACAGGAGCACGCTCCTGTCGTCTCAGCTCTACGGGTGGAGGCAAGCCGCCAGATTTTTCAAGCGCCAATGGTTCAAGTACTCCAATCCACAGCAACCTCCGCCTCACGGAATTGTGCGGCATCGGGGCAGACCTTCGGGAGCAGCCATTGCTCATTTCCGAACCAAATATACACTGCCGAAGCATAAGGGAAAAAATGGCTGAGATACTTTTTGAAGGACTGCAGGTAGGATCTCTGTACACAGCGAAACGGGCTCTTCTGTCCTGTGTTGCGTTGGGGAGGAGTAGCGCAATGGTCATCGACGTGGGGGCATCTGGCCTTTCTATTGCCCCAGTTTCCGATTCATTCGTCCTAGACCAGCATGTTACAGAGTGGCCGGTGGGTGGAGATGCAATGAGTCAGTTGCTTAGCTCAATCCTTATGGGGCACAACCTCCCTGTACACCCCAGTTTCGCCCGTTTTTCCGCCCAAGGCCGGATGTCGAAGATTACATTAGACAAGCCGGGGGATTGGGACAACGTTCACGCTTCCTACATGCATTGGAGGTAAGCTATTCAGCAAGAAATACACCGACGGGGTGTAGCGATGCTGATATGACTGGGCAGTTCGCATGCCGTCTTGGTTCCGCAGCGCGGGAGCGCCTTATATGCGCCTGCGTCTGCTCCACTTGTTACTTAATGTGGTAAACGGAGTATGCGTATGGTGACATGGGCGCCCAGCGCAGCTACTGGATTATCTGTCAGGCTTCTGTTGACCGAAATAGTTAGGGAGATGCCTGCCACTTGCTGGCCATGGGCCCGGTTTTCTTTTTGTGTTCGTGTGCAGCCGCATGCAAACTTTGTCTTTTCTAAAGGAAGGGCTATGCCGCGTAGCAGACGACCCACGAGATGTAACATTTGCGCGAAAGCCCATACTCTTGCCTAGCCAACAGCAGCAGGCGAAGAGACGTGGAGGTGCTGCAGGTGCTTCCCCAGATTGTCCCACAACATCCCAGCTCCTATTCCCGTGTTTGACAGGAGCGTCCGCTGCTGCTTTGCTCGCTAGCGGCAGCGGTAGCGAAGGGGGCATCATGGAGCTGCCAGACGGCACACGCCTGGAGGCGGATCAAGTAGCCATGAAGGCAGGTCACCAAGTGCAGCTTGTTGGTGTTGTTTTGTTTGCACAACATTCACTCTTGAGCATTCCTCACTTCTGCAACGCTCTTGTTGTTGTTTGCACTTGGGGCAGCGCTGTGGTCAAGGCGCTGACACCGTAATTGGTTGCTTCAGGTCCTTCCCGTTAACATCAGGTCTGTATTTCTGTGGGAATGTGCAGATTCCTGAGGTGCTGTTCTATCCCGCGTTTCTTTCATTAGTGCCGGGTGGCGGTGGTGGCTTTCCCGGCCTGCCGGAGGCAGTACGACAAGTGGCGGAGGCGGTTGAGACCGATGGGAATCGCGACATTCTTAGCGTATTGATTCTCACGGGAGGCTGTTCCTGCATACCAGGTGTGTGTTAATACACGTATATATATATCCAGGATGCTTCACCCGTCATGCTGGACTCTTTTGGAACCCCGCAAGGCTGTAGGGTTAAGTAACACTGCTGTTGTGGCTCACACGCCACCGTGGGGCTGGAGGGATAGAGCCAAGACACTACGGTTTTCCTTTTCTCCGTGCGCATGTGCCCTTAGGAATGGTTGAGAGGGTCAACCGAGAGTTGGTGGACGATCCCGCTGTCTGTGGAGGCCAGAAAGTTAGGTTGCTTGCGGTGCCTGGGTCGCAGGAACGCCGGTTTTCTGCGTGGGTTGGGGGCTCGATGCTTGCAAGTCTGAGCTCCTTCCAGGCTGCATGGTGCAGCCGCGATGAGTATGAGGAGCATGGGCCAGCGGTTGTTCAGCGGAAATGCTACTAAGGTCGGCTCCTGAAGAGCATGCAGTGTGTCAGGAAGCGGCCCTCGTAGAGAAACGGGCTAGGCTTTCGTCTTTCTCCCGCTCTGGACGTGTGCGGCGCTTAGCACAACAAACGGAGTGGAGGAACTGTCTACTATTTATCGCTTTCCCAAACTGCGCACAGCGAGGCGCGCACAGGCTGGCCGGTGTGTATGATTGTTGCATCACCCCGGTCCGAGAGAGGCGAACCACCGGTTTTTGCATGCTTATGGCGGTGCTTGCGGCGGTATGCGCACCACTCGAAGCCCACATGCACAGATATTATGCAACACCGAGTTGGTTCTTCCGTGCTTCAGAGGCATGCATAACAAGGAAGCGGTGCTTTTCGTGCGCAAGAACAGATGGGGCTGCGGCAGTGCTTATACCACCTTTTCGCTGCTCCTCGGCGATAGCAGCCGTAGTTCAGGAACGCAATACCGCGTTTTGGGCGTTTAGACCTAATCACTCCTTTTGTCTTAACTGCTTGGGTTGACTGGGCGGCTTGCAAATAGGACATTTCGGCTTTGTTTTACCGTAGGCGTAGTTTGTCCCTACATCCACTCCAGCAACATTGCGTATGAGACTAGCTCAACACAACTAAGCTGTGTTACCTCCGTCGTGCCACATTACAGAGACGGACAGTAGCCACTGTTTTCACTACGTACATTGTACATGAATTCACAGGGACCTCTAATTGGCGGGCAGCTTGTTCTCAACTTTGCGTATGTGCTAGCACTACCAACAAAACATATTTTGCGTAAGCACTCCAGCTTGCGCCGCATACCTCGACTGCCATGCTGTGTCATTGACTGAAGTCAGGCTCCACCATTTACAATGGCTTTCTTGTCCTGGTTTCCCCCTGGCTATTCTGCTTCCCGGCTAGAAAGTGGCATTGCCCCGCAACCGGTGGAGCGCGCTGCGCCGCAAATGATAGACACCTTTAACCACCGCAGTAAGCTACATTGGTGCTGTAAGGTATTCGCTAAGGAAGGGGTTTCGCATATCACTCTTCCTTCGCATGCGATAGTGGATTCGTTGAGGCTGCCCCACCAAGTGTAGACACAAAGGCAGGTGGCACACTCGGCGGGCAGTGGATCAGCTGACGCTTGCTGCATCTGGGCGCTCTTACGGCATTAAAAAACGCACGCTGTGTGCTTAACTCTTGAATGTCGCTCGGGCGTAATCGCTTACATGCGAGATCTCATGCTGCAGTTTGGTTACCTAATAACGACAGCTCGTTTCTCAAATTAGTGCAAGTCAACGTGCTTACTTCTGTCCATAGAAGCAAACGGCGTGGCGTCGTCAAGCCTTGTAGAACACGTACAATGTCCCTTGACAAGGGTGTCGCGGATTTTGTGGAGGCGTTGTGTATGGGCCACACAGCACGGCTTGTGCTTTGACACATTTTCGACTCCGTTAACACAAGAATAGACGGATAAAGTCTAGTACAAATAGAAAACCTTCACTTCCTTCCCATGGATGTGGCCAGTAGATGTACTGGAGCACTTGGGGAACATGAATTTGTGTCTGTCCGGGTCGTTGCCCACTAGGCCGTTCTAAACTGTTGCGATGTGTTGAGGGGGTAGAAGGTACTTCGATTCCTTTTGGGTTGCTTTGACTTCATCAAATTGTTTCTGCTGAGCATGTGTTGAATGATAACAAGAGTAACCTGGTGAAGAAAGGCGTTGTTCCTGCCTCATGGGGTTCCCACTACCCGCCTGTTGGCAATCGCCACAAAAGAGGACCACTGAAACAAGACGAAGTTTTCCAATACATGTATACCAACTGGTTTGATTGCATTTGATAAAGGAACTCTTCTTCCTCTTTCAGCCTTTGCCTTGAAGGAAATACCATACCTGTGAGCAGACATATTCAGCACTGTCCCAGCCAGTTGTGTCCCAGCCAGTTGCTCAGTCGGGGGGCTTGAGGCCCGCAGCAACGATTTGCTCTTGTGAGTCAGTCCCTTCAGCTAGTGTTTGAGTTAATATATTTTGCTCTTCTCATTTTTCGTCTCTAGGGGAGCTCACAGTGTCCCCTACCCTCGCTACCTCTCTTTGCCGGTCGCGCCATTGACACGTGACGCTGTGCCCGGAGCATATCGTGCTCGCCGTTCTGGAACATTATTGCTTAAATCGCGAGAACTGCCTTATTATCAGCGTTTACATTTCTTTCCTTTGCCAATAAAGAGAACAAAGACCGCGGAACGGGCGCGTTGATGCATACTGCAACCTGCGCCGGTGCCAGCGTAACTGCTTGTCGCGATCCGAAGGGCTTTACATAAGGAGAATGCTACGCTAGATGCAGCAGCTGACTGTGTTAAAGGGTTTCGAAGTAGACTTCGATGCCCCGCGCGGTTGTGGCCCGCATCCGCTCTCACCGCTACATGCTGGCTGCTGAAGGTTGTAGACCGCAGGCAACCTTCGGAGGTCTCCTGGTTCGCGGTGCTTATCCTGCATCAGACTCCTGACAAGTTGGTACCCAGTGTTATCAGCGGTGTTATCGGTTGCAGGGGAAGGAAGCCAAAGCGGTAGACTTCATATTAACTCAGAAATCGCCCTCCCGTCTACTGTTGTGGTTTCACTGCATAAGGATGAACGAAAGCACTTCATTCGATCCTTCGAAAGGTGCTGAGCTGCTAATGGGCGCTAATGGGGCCGGGGGAAAAGAGGTTTACGAGTACACCCCGGACCCAGGTTCTGTACTGATTCATGACAGTTCCTCTCAAGACGGATTCGATAGAGGTAAGACAATCCGTTTCTCGTGCATACTTTCTGCGTATTTGTTGTGAAGGCGAGTAGCTATGTGACCTGGAGGCATTTTGTCGGCGCATTTTCTTGGTACTCGATGCTTCGTGCACGCGCTCCAATGGCATTCCCGCCAGTGTCTTGTTCCCAGTAGTGCAGTAGCATCCGTTGTAGGAGACATTCTCGCACATGGTAAAACGTATAACAGGTAGACAAGCAATAGTGAATGCTAATATTCGATGCAACGAATTCGTCTTCTTTACCCTCAGATGCGTATCGGCTAACAAGAGGTGCGAAAGAAATCGACGACTCGGAGGTCAGCCCGAGCACTGCCTACGAGTTCTTCAGAGGTAAACAGCAAACAGAGCTTCTCCATCTAACAGATGAAGATTTAATGCGTATACATTGTTGTATATATATATATATATNTATATATATATATATATTGTATATATAAGTGTATATTATTGTTTCGCTTTCGGAATGCCCGGTTTTCATCAACAGTGCGTTTGGCAAATAATACAACACGGCCGGATTGGTGGTTCGCCTGTGTAGAGCGTCCGTGCGACTTGCACAAAAAGTGCAAATGTCTCTTTGGAGGGGAAGATAGGGAGCGGGTATCACCTGCGCACTTACGATGACGTTTTGGAGAGATATGCGGTTCTTCAGGAAAGACGTACAAGAGTACAGCCTTCCGCAATGGCTTTGTTTCTCGTCAAGGCTGGGGCCCCTCGGACTCGGGTCCCTTGGAGGTGCGGGGACAACGGACTCAGCACGCTGCCTTGAAAGGCAGCCGCGCAGGCAAGGAGGGATCGGTGAGTAAGACGGGAAGGGCTCACTTTTTTCCTAAGACTGCGGCTTTCTTCATGGGGCACCCATTGCCCTCGTAGACTTCTCAAGGCCTGTGCTTTGCGTGAGGTTGGTGCGACAGAAGGAGGAACCGCGCATGCCACATCCCATCCCTTATCTGGCTGGTATTGCGGTGACTTAGGCATTTGCTTTCACGCACCGTGGCTCCGTAGTTGGAGGCACCAACTTTTCTTGTTGCATACGCTTATCGGGGCTCTTGGAGTTAGCCCTTGCCTGCCGGTTGCTTCTCCTGTGTACAGTGCCTGGTAAATTTAGGCAAGGTGCGGCTGTGGTACGGCTGTGCGTTCATGTATTTGTTGGCTGGTCTGCGAGTCTTAGATGGATTCGGCTGTCTCGGACTTCCCGGAAAGTACTTTCGAAACGCCCATAGGGCGACTGAAGCGGTTGCAGGGGGAAGTTGAGGAGATGCTGGACTTTGTTTCTTCTTTCCTTGTGGAGGAAAGAGTGCCGGCTTCGGACCGGTCCGAGGTGCAATCGGTCAGCCAACCGGCAGAAGCTGCTTTTGGAGAACCACGAGAGGAGTCTAGTGATGCAAAGCACTTGGGAACCCACCATGTGCACTACCACACCCGTCGCCTCCCACCCGCTGCTCAGGAGGCCCTTCTCTTTGGCCATGACCCCCTGTCCCTCATAGAAGAATTGAAAAAGCTGCGCATGCAAGTACGGCTGTTTTTAAGTACACCTTGTTAGGTAGCGTGAGGAACGTCCTGCTGTATGAATGTGCCTAAACGTTTTCGCTGACGGTGGGGTCGGCCAGTTTTGGTGTCACGAATAATCTCCGTGATTACTCTGATGAGCTCATTTCTGCCAACCAGGTCCTCTCGTTACATGCCCCAGTCCCTTGGCGGTTCATTACCTGTGTAAATGTTGTTGCCGAATTCGGGCTTCATTCGTTAACCGTCGTTGCTGATTTGCGTATGGGGTGCGAGGTTGCGAGCGTGCTGAGCGACACGAGGACGGAAGCGCTAGTCTCGCATATCGAACCCGTTACGGGAATGAAATCTGGAACAGCCCTGCTGCAGCAGCACCTCGCTGCAGCTTCTGCCCAGCTGCAGCGGACGCTTGGGAGAGAAGGGAAAGGGGCCCCACCTCCCCCTAGCAGCGCTTCTCGTGAGTTTCCCACTTCAGTATCTGTATAGGTCGTATGCAAAAATAGCTGCAGCAGCAACAGCATCGGAATGCAAGTGGCACAGAGGGGTCGGGCTGCGGGAGGGTCTGCGTGCAGCAAGAAATGCCTCGGCTCCGGCGTTAGCCACGTCGGACATGCCGAACGAGGCGGGTCCCAGCAAGAGAGATGGGGGCGGCAATACAGGCCCAACCACAGCCTACGAAGTGTACTGCGTGCCTTCTCTGTCCCCAATGATGGAGCAGAGCCGCATCACTTCTCTAGAGCGGCGACTTGCATTTGTGGAGAACAAAATCGGCCTCCAGAAGATGAGTCTTCTTCCCCATGCCGACCTCTTCGAGGCTGTAACCGAAATGCAAGAGCGCATGAAATTGCTGGATCAGCAGAAGATCGAGAGTCTTCAGAAACGAGTTCAGGCAAGGCAAATACAGACACAACAAAAGAACTATGGAACCCCCAGGGCCATGGGTTGACGGCTGCCAGGAGGCTTGGGTCTCCATGTGCCACTAGAAACAACAAAAGAGACGCACTGAGCAGTCAGGTCAGTAATAGGTGCTCATAAGCAGGCAGAAATGGTATGGCTGGGGTGCTGCATGCAGGCGTTGCTCCTAGAGCTCCATGCTCTCCAGCAGCGCCGCCACGAACTAGATATGGCCGCGGAGGGGTTAACGGTCTCCTCTGGTGCAACCGGGATGGAGCCAGGGAAGGGACTTGCGAGCGGCTCTGCTTCTTCCAGTGACTGGCAGCGGGTCGAGGATCTCTACGACATATGCGAACGGTGGAAAGCACCAGCTGCCCTACTGCCTTCCGTGCTGCAACGGCTAAAGCTACTCAAGGGGATCCACCAAGAAGCCGGCGGTGTGGCCGTCCGTCTGTCGGGTGAGTGAGCGTTCGAAGAGGTCAGCTAACGAACACGAAAGGCTCGAGATGAACCCTTTGGTGTCAGGTGTCTATGATTAGTTTGTGTTGGCAATTTTAGGAGTACCTCCCACACAGTTCAGTCCAAGTATGTGAGTCGTGTTCGTCGAAATTCTCGGAACACAATGTTTAACGTGAAGCAATTTTCTAAGGGATTGCGGACAAGCGTGTGTGCATCCAGCCGTGCACGAGGACTAACGCTTAAATCAACAGCCCTTTGCAGTATGTTCTGCGAACAATCGCCGTCGCATAATGCGTATTTGTCTCGTGCAGTGTTGGAGAAACAACAAGAGGAGCTGCAGGCCTGGGTCAAGCGGGCAGACGACGCGGTGACCCAGCTGCAGAAGACAGTCTTAGACAGCGTTGAATGGGCACAAAAAACTGTCGCTCAGATGCAGCAGCGGCTGGCTGCTGTGGCGCCGTCGACGGCAACCGATGCATGAGACCGGGTCGACGACTCCTCGTTACCTCCAGCGTGCATGACGAGCTGGGGGTCACGTTGCTACCCACCACTGTAATCATGGGAGCCGCTCTAAGTAGTGCCAGCCGTTGGGTGAACCAGGACTGCCGCGTGGTTGGCCCGTGCGTGTTGCTGCTTTAGCTTTCGTCTGGGGGCACTTGTTCGTGAGCAGTGTTGGGTCCACCTCCGGGCAAACCGCATTTTTCGAGCGGTGTGCCTCACCAGTTCACACTATTCGACAACGAACTTCAGTGGCTGAGAAGTCGTGCTACCACAGACAGATAGAAAACAGTCTCCAGAAACCATCAGGCCGTTTTTGCAGCTTCGCTGAAAGCCCTGCGTTACAGCCACCCCTAGGCGCTAGTCTAACTCCACATTCGGCTCTACAGTCTAAGCAGTTGGTATCCGGCTTGCTGCTGGTGTGAGCGCTGCCTGCATCCACTGCAACATCCGCTGTGCTAGACACTACTACAGCCCCATGCATTGCGCATGCCGGTAGCTTCAAAACTAGAGACCTCATGCTTCCAGCGGCGCCTCTGCAAAGCCGCGCAGCTCTGAGATAAAAGTAAAAGCCCAGCAGGGAATGATGTTCCCCGATGTTCACGGAGGAGCCGCTGGGTGGCTTGTTAATTGATGCCCCTCTTCAAAGGCTGGAGAGGGGGCTTGCTGTCGATTCCCTAGGTTTCGTTCGATCGTAGAGATGTGGTAGGTAATAACCCTAGCCTCTGTCTGGGCTGAATATCTATACTGCAGTAGCAAACACCTTCCCGTGCAGTTTAGGCGGCGCGCCTTGCGTACGAAATCTATGGAGTGGCTCCTGCCGAGCACGCGTCCCTCTAAAGTCAGCTCCAGTGCCATCTCTAGGTCAAGCGGGTCATCAGAGGGAATCGAAGACTCACCCACACGCTCATTGCATACACCTCCTCCTAGATAAGAGCTGGTGCCATCCCGTCGTTTCCCCGATGGGCCCCCCAGAGACAGCAGCGGCTGCAGCTGCGATGCCAGGTAACGCAGCACCAGCTGTACGGTCATGCGGCTGGGCACCCGCAAGTATGGGCGATCAATATGCGGGAGCTTCAAAGGCAGAACCAAGAGGTCTTCGGACTCCTGGGCACCCCCAACGCCAATCTGAGAGCCCTCTGGAGGTGTATGGGAAAGCTGAAAGCCTTGGTACTGCACGCGGGCCTCCATAAGCTGGCCCTGGTATGTGTCCGGCAGCAGCGCAATGGCTGTTGTTTGCTGTTCGTCAAAGCAAGTGGGGGAACCCAGAAGCTGGTCAACAAACTCATCGAGCGACTGCTGCAGCTGCTGCTGCTGCTGATTTCGAGAAGCGGCACTGCTGCTACGCAAGCCCTCGCGCTGTTCCTTGCGCACTTCGCCACGAGAAACGTCATCGGTCTGCTGCTGCTGTTGCTGTTGCGGCTGCTGGAGTCCAGGCGGCAGGGGAGGCTCTAGATGGTGGGGTCCACCCGCCTCCTCTGTGACTGCTCTGGCCTCTAGCCTCGCTCGCTTGTGCGGAAGGACCTCGCGCCTGAGGGTGCCGGAGGATGAGAGACCTCCTACGAGGTATTCAGGCGGAAGCTGTTTATGTTGGTGTTGCTGCATGAATCGCTGCAGCTCCTCTTCCTCTAGGCGCTCCTGCTGCGCAAAGTGCGGGAACAACTTGTCCACTAGGTTCTGCATGGTGCGGTCGAAAAGGACTGCTGCATTTGCTGCTGCTGCTGCTGAAGTGCCGCTGCTATTGCTGTTCAGGCTCACCACGCTCCCCGCGCCCGCCACGCAAGCTGCTGTTATTCGCGGCATGTAATGTCTGGAGTCNGCCTCACCATCTCTATGGGGAGTCATCATCTGCATGTTCCTTTCACAGTAAGGGCAGCAGACCTCTTCAGTTTCCCCGCCCTCGACGTAATCGTACAGACACCAACGGCAGAACGTGTGGAGGCACTCCTTGATGGTGACGGCATCCCTGAAGTAGCCGTTGCAGAGGGGACACCGAAACAGCTTCTCCACAGCCTTCAAGGGAAACGAAACGTCCAACCCTTCGTCACCTTCAAACGCAATGCACTGCTCCTCCTCTGAGTCCTCATCCGACTCTGCAGTAGCAGGCGCAGCAGGCGTCCGCTGCGCTACCCCGCCAACCCGCCCTCTCTTTTGGCGCCGGGATGCATCCGCAGCCACGGTAACAGAGCCATCGCTCACAGAGACGGCTGGCCCAGCTGAGGCGTCAGCTGCTGCAGGCCAAGCAGGCCGCGTCGTGGGCCGCGGCGAACGCTGCATCAGAAAACGTAGTTCAGGAGTGCCCGCAGGAGCTACTTGCACCTACACCGGTTTTCAAAGACGGGTCTGCCTCCATAATGCGTCAAATCGGAGGAATAGAGATGCAGATCAGCTCCTGACCCTCTCGAGACAGGACGACACGCAGGAGGAGGGAGGCGTTATAGTATGAGGTAGCGGGAGCGCGAGGTAGGGAAGAGCGATCGTCTCCGTCCCCCCTTTTCCCTGCTAAGTAATCGCACCAAATCTGGTACGTATTAAGCAGAAAAATGGGGGACGAGGAACGAGCAGAGCTGGTCAAGCAAAGAGATCGCCCCAGCGCCTCAGCGGCGCGGCGGTCCCGTCGTACCCCCCGACGTAAGGCCCGTTAATTACCTCTCAATACTCCTTTTAAACATTATATTACTAATAAAAGGGAGGGAAGCACCATAAAAATCGCTGTCTGAGACTCAACCCAATCACGGCTAACGCCGGGGCTGCTTCATGGCGCTCGGGGGGCCCCCGTGGGGCCCCCGAATATCACTCAGCCTTTAGAAGCATTTACTATGCACCCGTCCCTTTTAGTGTATCTAAGCCCTTTTGAGCCTCAAAGGAAAAGAGGGCGGGTACCTCTGCTCTTGTTCCTTTATTCTGCTGACGTCCTTGNCCTTTTGAGCCTCAAAGGAAAAGAGGGCGGGTACCTCTGCTCTTGTTCCTTTATTCTGCTGACGTCCTTGTTGCCCTCCCCCGTCGCCGTAGGAGTGATGGCACGAGAGATGACAATGCGGGAATTCGGGCTGTATATACACCTGATGAGCGTGTAAGGCAGGAGGAGTCCCCACAAATTTGCGTGAGCCCTTCTGCTGCTTCTTTAAACGCAAACACAGCTGGGTCGACCGCCTGCGTTGTGGGCGACCTTGCACAAATGTCACCCCCATTTTGGTGCTGTTTGTCTGTCTCTAGACCATAGACTCTAAAATTGTCGGCTAAATACGTATTTTTACTCACATCCGACCTCCTTAGTAGCCCTTGTGCCCACGGGGGACGCCGCCGCGGGCTCTTTGTTTCCTCTTTAGTTCATAGCTTTGCGGAGCTGAAGGAACAGAGGCGCGAGTGACCATGAACTCGACGCCACCGATCCCGAATCCGACACAGCAGCAGCAGATGCTGCTGCTACAGCAGCAGCAACAGGCAGCGCAGCAACAACTCGGGCAGCAGGTAATGCACCAACAAATGCCCCAGCAACAACACCCAGCAATGTCGCCTCACGGCCACCCCGCAGGTCTGCAGCAGCCGATGCTGCATCATCCCCAACAGCTTGCTGCACATCAGCAGCAGCAACCACAGATGCAGCAACAGCTGCAACAGCAGCTACTACAGCAGCAGCAGCAAGCACGCTTAAGCTCCATTCATGGAATATCACAACAACCTTTCCCCCTTCACCCGCAATCCATGTCCATGC